GGGGGGGGGGGGGAGCAGAGAATTGGTCGAGAACGGTGATGTGTTGATTTGTTTGTTTTCAACACATCCTACGGTATGTTACTTCGGGACGGCGGACAAACAGATCTTCACGCACGATAAATGTATCAACTTCTTCGTTCCAAACTCGGAGATTTCACAACGCATGCTGATGACAAGGTTTCCTTTGTACAGTACCACTCGAAAAGATCTCCACACTTACGAGTCACCGCTTCCAGGCTACTACGTTGGCTGCCCAAGGCAGTCCCGAACGAACTATGCATGTCCAATGCGCGCTGATTCTGGCGAAACTATACATCCATGACAAACCCGAACCGCATGAAACCACGACCAAGTCTCGAACAACACCAGGGCTTGGGCCACGCTTTCAACACAACACATACAGCAAATCAATCTGTCGTTGAACCGCACCAACCATCGTCCAGAACCCGGGCTTTGTACCTCGCGTACCTCTAGGTAGTTCAGGCCTACGTTCCCATCGTCCCCGTCCTTCTCCTCCAAAATTGCGCTGTCGTTGACGATCGCCGCGAGGGTCGAGGACGACGGGTACTGGTGCAGCTGCTGCTCCATGAAGATGCTGGGGTCCATCACTGTATGCCGGTTGCGACGAAGAAGGGCCAAGCCGTGCGCGTGCATCGTTTTCGGTGAATGCCACGAGCGCCGCCGGTCAGCCCGGGCGACGAGAAACAACATGAGGCATAGGAGCTCAGCAAAGAACAACGCCAATAGAATGGCGGCGACGTCAGCGATAACAAGAACACACTTACCACCAACCGCAACAACGACAAAACGAAGACGATGCAGACGACAGCAACAACGCCCCCGCATGGACGCCATGATCACACCACCAACAACAACAGCAACCACAGCGGCACAGCCACAACGCAAGGACGACGACGAAGACAGCAAAAACAAACCAGCGACAGATACCCAATACATACATACCGCTCAGTCCCGAAAGGTTGACGAGAGACCTCGACGTGTAGAAGCTCGACACGCGCCCTTCACGCCGTAGCTGCTCGGACGAGGGGTGTTGAGAGGCCGCCAGCATTCGGACCTTGCGACCAGCACAGCAAAACGAAAGAAACGCGGTCAATCCAATGGCGAGTGGCGATGTGCAGAAAAACTACTCACATGTCCACAAACGTTCCCACCGCTCACGGATAAACAAGAATTCCTCACGAGAACTGCACCAGAAAGGCAGCGCCGGGGGCAGAGGGATCAACCATCGCAAAAGGCCGCTTACTTGACACTCCTGACGACAAGCAAGTGCGAGTTACATTATGTTGACACGTGATAAATGCAGAGAGAGACTCGCCCCCCCCGCAGAATCGAATGAACATCGGACCCAAAATAACGCCTTCAAGACCATCCTTTCTGAGCACCAAACACCCGCCACCAACATCAAAAGGAATCGCCTCGGCGCACAGAAGCTGAAAACTGTCCAGGCGGGTTCGAAAATTCCCCACTCTGCACAATTTGAGTTGTATTTGCTCGGCCAATCAACTACCTGCTCAGAACCTTATTCAACTCAGTGGATTTCAATCAACTACAATGTGCTGAGTCAAAATCTTGGAGTGACTAGTACAGTTGATTCCAATCAAATACTGGCTCAGAATCTTGGGTGACTAGATGATTCCAACCAGCTACTGTGGCTCAAATCCTGACAAACCCCGCGGGCATCGTCGGCACACCTGGTTCTCGGCCGTGAGCTGGCGCCGCAAGATCTGCACGCACTGCTCCAGGGACATCTCGACGGCGCAGTGGCTCCTGATCATCTCCACCTTCGGCCACGTGTTACGCTCCGCCACCTGCGGCGGGACCGTTTGTTCGCGGTGTGTGTCATCCGCGTCGCAGCGACTGGTGATCGCTACAGTATCCTTGTGGTCGCTAGCTGTCGTTGTCGATGTTAACTTTGACGTGTGGGAGGCGTTTTGTGTCCGCAGTTTGTTTGCGTGTGTTATCGGCCTCAACAAAACACCAAAATAGCACGATCGTGGATATTTACGGACGTGGTGCAAGCGGGAGAACAGAACCAAAACGTACAAATACATCAGCACAAGGCACAAGGTAACAGCTAAATAAATGAAACTCGACGGAAAGGACGAAATACATGAAAACACAAACAACAACAATAGCGATGACAGCGACGAAGACGACGACGCGAAAACCCACAATCGTCATGGCGAGAAACTCTTCGGTGTTGACGTTCTTGAGCATCTTGGCGAAGGACGAGAACACGTTTTCCTCCCCCTTCCACGGCGTGATAGTCACATCGCAGTGCCGCCCCTCGTACTCCTGCCTCACGACAGAAGTGAAGAAAAGGCTGAGATTACATGTAGCGTTCCGCAAGGTCAGGTACGGTGCGGTGAGGTCACGCGATGTCGTGATAGGCTGCGCAGGCTTGAGCGGATTTAGGAAGCGACGGACCAAAGGACAATGATGTGTGAAGAAAGAGTCACGTTGGTTATCAACCGTACATTACTTGACATTAGAATCCTCACCATAACCACAGGCGGTGAAATAAAACGTAACAGATACTGTGCAATAGACGACGGCGGGCTGCAGTTGTGTAGTCGCAGAATGCGACCGTCAACGTGAAATCACGAAATTTCTCTCAAGTTTCCAAAATATGCCGTACTCTCTCCTACGGAAAACCACACTTCGCGCAGATTCCACCAAGTACACACGTCCAACGACTCCATACAGCACCGTACCTGCGTGAGGAGCTGGATGCCGCCCCGTTTCGAAGCCCACACGGGAGCCAGCCTCCGGTGCGACACGAACTCAATCACGTTGCGAAACCAGTTGCGCACCTGGTCAACGTTCGGGTTAGCGAGTGTGTGGTGTGTTTATTCGACACAGAGAATACTGTAGGCGGAGCCACCAACCAGACAAAGTCAACCGCTCGCCGAGAAAGGAAGACGCAACATCGTACCTAGATACTCTTGGTTGGAGTACGAACATCTGCAACGCTACATTGATCATCCGTCTTTCGGTCTACGTAAAGACTAAACAGTACTATGTAGGTTCTTCGACGTCATTGGTCTTCAACGGCGAGAAGAAACACCCGTCCACGTGCGGTATGTCAGATCGAAGACATGACACGAAACAACTGAAAACTTACCTGTGTCTGCAGAAATCCGACGATTCCCACGAGGAAGCTGTAGGTTGGAGAGCTCCAAACGCTCTTGGAGAGAGCCATTGTCGACAGAAGGGACGCATGCGGGTTGACCTAGATTGACGAGCAAAAATATATATATATTTCGCGGTTATGAAGAATGAACAAGGTGCGGGTGGGAACCTGTGATGAATGAATAACGACGCACGTTTCGCGACTGCAACAAGGCAATAAATACCGTACATTCATTACATTCGGAAATACTGTTTTTCGCTTGCCTATTTCCTTTCACTGAAGGAGTTTAACATCGGATTACGGTCCAAAATATCAACATATGACAAACGTCCAGATGAATGGTGCCACACACACACGCTCGGCGTATATTTAGCCCAAGCACGAGCAACTATGATTGGTTGTGATTCCATACAAGGCTCATGTTCATACGGACGTGTACAACCAGGAATGGATGTGTTGCGGGTGCGTCTGATGGAACAGAGGCACCACACGTATACGTCATCATATGAAGGAATGAATATTGCGGGCTCACAGCGTTGGCTTAAGGTGAAAACGAACTCGTCCATCTAGAAACAAACAAACCTGCGACACAATGAAGTGGTTGATGTTGAAGAGCTCGCTGATCTGCTGCATCGGCAGGTCCGCCTCCATGCTTCCGTCCACGAACTTGTCGATCGGCCCGGATTCCGGGTGCGTGCTGCGAAGGCGCACCGGAGGAGAGCAAATTAAGGGGGGAAAGACGGTGGCAGAGGGGCCGCGGACGACCGAAAGGCCTTTCCATCTGACGACACCAACAGATAAACGCCGACCAAGGAGCCCGATGCCATACATGCTCGGTCGCACAATACCTGCATACGGGATCAACAAAGTAGTATCGTGTGGCGGGCATGCATTCTCGTGCCGAAGACAGCTAGATACATCTCGAAAGCCACAGGTGCCCACACGTGATAGCCCGTAAGGCGCCACACCGACGAATACGCCGCACGGCCTGACAACATGCCGGCATCGATCCAGCGGTTTTCGACAACTAGTTGACCACGACCAAAAAGTCGAGAGGGGACGACCGTGTTCACGGGAAGCACGCAGCCACTAGACTTGTTCCCTCTCTCTGATAGACACATGTAGTCACCAAACGCCTCCAAGTTAGGTAAATGTTGCGGCATAGATGGACGTGGAATTCAAATCTCTTGCCAGGACCTTCAAGAACAAGGAGATCAGAGACAAACCGACAGGGACGCCGTCATCAAAAGAGACCAAGCCGACGACTTTCAACGCTGCTGCTGAGGTTTCGTAAAAAGGGGCCATTCACACTTTCAAGGGGCATTTCGGCCCCATCTCTTACGGACAACAATTTACGAACAGTCGACATCCTTCACCAAAGAAACGGGGCGGAATTCGACCAAACGCCGGAACCCCTTGTAGCAGGGGACTCGTTCAACTGTGGCTTGGAGAAAAGCCACCAAAAAATAACTGCAAACAAAAATAGCCAACCGTTGTAGGGGAGTCGCAAACAAAACCGCAAACTGTTTCGGGGGAGTCGCGCACATTTACGCTGTGTACGCATCGCTTACTGAACACGACAAAAAGCGCTTCGTGCACTCCTTGCTCATTACCTACCTCCCATCGGCGTCCTTGACGAGAAGAACGGACGGCTCGAACACCCCGGGGACGCTGCTGGAGCACACCGCCGCGCTCCACACCAGCACGTGGGGCGCCGTGAGGTAGTTGAGCAGCCGGGGGGGGTCCGTCTTGTTCTGCGGGGCCACCGTGATGTTCACGATGCGCCCCGTCCGGTCGAAGGCCTGCCATTGGACAAAATACAACCCCGATGGCCACACGACGACCAACAGCGAACGACCAACAAAAAGCGCGCGCTTTCACCAAAAGCCAACAATTAATCTTGTGCGTAGGGCGTTTTTCCGAAATACAACATGGCAAAAAAACGCATGTGGACGTGGATACCGCATGCGGTACACCTCACCTCCTGGAACGTCGAGGGCCCTATGTTGTGCCGGAGGACGTTCTTGAAGTAGTCCGTGTCCATGCTGAGGAAGCCCTCGCTGTGGAGGAGCACGTTCCAGAGTCGCGTGCCCATCCACCGAAGGCCCGGGGGCACCAGCAGCTGCCAGAACGCCGAGTTCTTGTACTTATCGTCGTCTCTGCCGTCCCCGCCCACCGATAGTGTCGAATTTACACATGGATCAAGGTGAGAACGAGTCAATACACGCGAGGGAGGGGACAAGGGCCACAAAAACAGCATTCCCGAAAACAACATAAAATATGGTTGTGTGTGACTTGTGTTGTACGTGAACAACAAAGCGCGGAATAATTTTTTTCTCGGTGCCCCTCCAAGATTCCGAGCGCGCGGGTGGCGGGTGGAGGGGGCGCCAGAACAACAACAACAACAACAACAACAACAACAACAACAACAACAACAACCAAAACCATGCAAAAGAAGCGTGTTGTTACGTCACCATGTGCACCGTGCGCGGCAAAGGAGACAAACCCCCAAAAAGAAGGACTTGAGAGTTCGGGCGCTCGCGCGTGTGGCGGCAAAAAAAAAGCAGCAACGGTGCGGTTACACGGTGACTCGGCACGCGGTAGAAATAGCAAGGGAAAGCCTGGGGGCGAAAAGTCTGCACGGATTGATTGCTCGTTGGGAAGTCGCTGGCGGTGGTGATTGCCACTTTTTCTATTCCGAGTAGGCATTCGTTTTCGCGCCGTAGCATGTCGGTTTGCTTTCCTCCAGGTGTTCTTTCCGCTACTCAGAGAAACCAAGCTAAGGCGAAGGCAGAGACATCGCAACCATGGACGCCACATTCTGACGCCCCACGGGGCGGCGGTCTGGCCCCTCCGCGACAAGCGACCGCAAAGCTCTTCCAGGGAGACGAGTGTCCCGGCGGGCCAAAATGGGTTCTCTCAACCTCTCCGCACCAACATCTACACGCAGACGAACTGTTCCTCTTGCCCTCAAAGTTTCACTCATAAGACGCATCCAGAATACACATGGCAATCACGGGATCCCAACTGAAGAAGCGGTCCGCTCTTTAGACAGTGAAGTCCTTCCAGATACTCGTTTTTTGTTCTCACCCACTGGTCTTCTTGAAGGATCTCCGAAGAGGCTGGAAGAACTCCAGGTTTACCCCTTTCCCATCGAACATTGGGCGAAGTTCGGCGTCCGTCCTGGTCCCGACCATAGCCGCGACGATCGACCCGGCGGACGCTCCGCTCACCACCCGGGGGAGCAGTTTTCTATCCAACAAGGCCTTTCAACCGAAACCGCGAACACGTCAGACAAAAAAAAAAAATGATAACTAACGTGTGCGCCTAAATTGCGTAGCTGAATTTTTTGTTTCTTGTTCTTCGGGGGAGGACCGCTGAAGAAAGAGACCTCATGTTATTTCTCCAGACCAACAAGATGCGGCAGCTTGTATGTAGATTCTCGCCCCACGAGTGGGCATCATGGGACTAAGAAACGTTGTGGCAACAGTGGCCAACAAACACCAGGCAACAAAACAATCATATCCAGAGGTAAAACCGGCGAAGCCAAATGACTTGTTTTTATGACGTAATATGAAAACAGTACGTGGGATGTACTGCAGCAAGGGCTCATCAACCAGGCCAACCGTCTCGTTCGCTTTTAGCAGCCCTTGCCTCACCAAAGAACCCAACGCAACTCAACTACAAGGCAGTGAGATATCGTCGAGAAGAAACGAAGTCACCATCGGGGTGGTTGCCTACAAGCTACATGTGTACTCCGAGTATGGATGGAACTACAGCCAACCACACATCGACAGACAGGAAGGACACCTTCGACGGCAGCCCTCGGTAAGATCAACAAGGATTTGATCAAAACGATGGATCGCTCGTCCGCACCAGCGAGGAGCACGGCTAACGATGGTATCATTAGTAGTCCGTCCGTGTTCTCGCCTGCCGCGAGTGACGTGGGCTCATTCTACCACGCCCGATCCGAGACTACAGACATACCCACAAGCAACAGGCCGTGAAACCGTCACTCGTCAGATTGGTTTGCGGTTTTGTTAGTTCTCATAACGTTTATTGTGCGCTCGGGCGATGATTGTGTCTGTTAGCCCAGCGACAAAAACACCACACAGATAAGCGGGCTACATCCGGAACAATCTGGCCCGGATTGCCAGCTCATCTATGTAGTGGGTTTCTCGCTCGGTTCACACGAACAAATCATCGCCCGAGCGCATAATACAGTATCCTCTACGAAAACCAGCAAAAAACGCAAGCTAATCCAGCAGAGCAACCCAGGTCACGACCCAACACACGAAGCAGCCGTCCCGCACCGCCGCCGGCGCCACAGGCGCACGCCTTACCTTGACCACCCCCGCGTGATACACTCCCATCGCCGCGCCCCCCGACAGCATCAGGGCCGTTCGCCCGTACGCGTGCCTGTGTTATCGAGTGCGTTCCGTTGCGTGGCGTTGCGAAGAGGTGGGGTGGGGGGCAGTCATGTTGAGAGCTACCAGGTGTAAGGTGCGTCCGTTAGCGTCGGGCTAGGGTTCGCTTGGGCTACTGATTGTGACGTTCGATCGGTCTTGTGTTGTGCTGGGCGCGCGACAAGGGGAAAAGGGACATCACGGGGGCTCGATGACCCGGGTCGATGTTGTCATACTTGTCCATTGAGACAATGACCATGGGCTACGTATCACACTTTTTGCTCCACCAAACACGCGTGTGCCTCTGTGTGTGACGTGTGTGGACCGCCTTCCTCTGTGTAGCTATTTTTTTACCTGGTCTCGTTGAAAAAAGCCAGTTTCGCGTCCGTGGGAATGTCCTGCGCCACGGCATTCTTGGCGCAGACGTAGTGCAGAGCTTCACACACAACCTCGTGGTATCGCTCGACCAACACCTGATACGGCGAGGACGCATTCGGGAAAAAATTCTAACAAAGCTTGAGCACATGAATGCACGGTGGATAGCAAGCGCGGCACGTGAATCATTAGCGAAAACTGAAAAACTCTACGACGTGAGGAAGATGCATCCGTTATTCTTTCTCTCTCCCTGATGCATCGGGTTTAGTGTCAAAAAAAACATCCCAGGTTGTCACCATGGTTAAAAAAATTCCGACGACCGAACCGCAGTTCATGTATTCCAAAATAGGCCGTTGGAACCGTGGATCGGCAAAACCGTTGGCTCTGTGGCACGGCATAATCGTTGCCTGTCATTCATCGCTCCTTCTTAAAGTCGCATGCTCCTCCCCGCTGACGACAAAGGGCCGCACCAGTTCCACACCAAGTCTGCCCCTGTCTCCAACTTGGCCTACCACTCCTACCCTGCTGCTGTACTACTATTAACAATTTATTTCCCTGCGTCGCTTCCCCCCTCCAGACTCACCTTGGTGCCCGCGTGCGCCCTCGAGAAAAGCCCCTCGTGCAGCATCCCGTGCTGATTTCTCGAGAGAGAGCAGCGCAACCGAAACATGAGGCCGAACACGTCCTCCGCGTTGATCATCGCGTTCAAGTCGCTGATCTGCTGCTGAAGAACCTCCTCGTGCACAGCAGGGGGGGGCGGGGGGTAGGGGGTGGTGCTCATTTGGCTGCCCCTTGAGAGCAAGGGCATATGATTTTGCTTTGCGCGCGTTGCATCTGTCGGCCCAATCTCGTGGGAGAAACCACAGTCCGGGGTCTTCAGCGCTCGTTGAGGGATCACGGTACTCTTGCAGGCCCGGACTCTCGCCTGCGCCATGCACTTCATGCCCCGGTCTATGCGACCCCGACCAAATCAGAGCTCTTCAATAGGGAAAGTCACGACAAAAGGGTGCATATAAACCGGCGGGAGTGTGGTCTGGTGGGATAACTCACAGCAAAACACAAAAAATAGAGTCCTGCTCGGCCGGGCCCTCAGCTATCCGCAAGTAGCGCCCACAATGTGCACTACCATTGCGCTCTATCAGGGGGAACTCTGTCACGTGCTCCTGCCGCCTGTGAGCGTTTTTGCCGAGGGAGAACGCTGGAGGTGAAGAGTATCTTCGCGCGTTCACAATATGATCGCACCTTGTGGTTGTAGAGGAGCGAGTCCGGACGCTTCCTCCACTCGTCGTGTCCCTCCAAGTGGTCTACTCGTTCGGCGTACATTCTCCACTCCTTCGTGCGCGTGCGAGCGAGACGAAGAAAGACAGACAGACAGACAGGCAAACAGGCAGACAAGCAGGCAGACACTATATGTTGGAGGGAGAACCGGATTCCAAAATCTCGCGTTCGGCGTTCGGTGATCTGCCGCTGGAATTCTCGACATGATTGTTCAATGCATGCATACTCCGCCCAGTACAATCAACGACCGAATCGAAACCTCTCGCAGAAAATAGACAAAACGCTACCTTCCAACATGTACCATGAATCGCAGGTCGCGAATGCACGAAACCACGCCTGCGTTTCGTGTTCGAATGTTTTCACCCGCTTGCTTGGTCTGAAGCGAGATTAGTGCGGCATCTCAATGCACGTGTGCCACTGAGGACGGTGCCGTACTGCTGGACCTCCCCTACACACTTCCTAGTGTAGAGCGTTTACGTCGATTGGGCAGCATTCTTGTAAGACATTTTCACGAACCTCGTAGTTCTTAGCGTTGCGCATCTTGTGGCGGTAGGCCTTCGCCTCTCCGTGCCGCGTGCTCAACCTAGACAGCAGCCGGTTTGCCACCATGACGAGGCCGTTGTACGTAAGCAGCCCCGTCTGCAACGCAACGGCCACCATGAGGTGTCTGGTTTGGGGGCGCAAAAGGGGGGAAATGTGCACCCAAGGTGCCACAGGCGGTGGAGGGCAGCAGCAGCAGTGTAGGGAAACGGACAAAATACAGTGAGCAGGTAACAGGGCGGTGCTACAATCCGAGAGATGAGGTGGGCCACGTCAACATACACTGGCTGGCGTACAGAGAAGGAAGTTAGATGTGTAGGTCGCAACAAAAGAGAGCAAACTGGGCGCCAACGATGTTGTGTTTGCATCGACAAGGTGTATGCTGCTGCAAGAGCAGCAAGAGTATATCAAGTGACACGTGAAGGGGTCTGCGATCAAGCCGGTGTTTCCCAAGCCGCTACTTCGAGAATTCGCAAGAAGTCAAAGCAAGCAGCAGACAATTAACTCCGTGCTGTAGGTAGAAACCGCGAGCGACTGCTGTCAAATGGAAAATGGAAAAAAAAAACTATCGTCAACCTGCTGGGGCTTCTGGCCCTCTTGGGCCTTATCTGCTGTATGCATTAGCACTGCTGTAGGTCGCGCAATTTCTTATCGTGTCTGTGTCATTTTTCTGGATCCTGTTGCTTCTCGTTGGTTTTCAGACTTGTGCCTTTGTGGGGGTAGTTTGTCTATGGCCCACGGGAAGTAGTCGATCAGATGGACCAAGTCCGTCGGATGCACAGGACCGAGGACCCGGCTGGATGTTTGACGATGAGAGACGGAACGGTTTTTCGTGTAAAGACAAAAGTCAACAACAACAACAACAACAACAACAACAACAATAACAACAACAACATCAAACAATGGGACCGAGTACAAGCGAATCAAGCCTACATGGAGGATCATTAGGAGGTTCACACACTCCTTGATACTCTCGCCTTTGAGGCGCTTACGGGTACGGAGAGGAACCAGACACGCTCCGACACCACGGAAACGAAACCCGGTTTGAACTGCAACTGCAACATACATACGGTGGTAGAACCGTTGGCTTGAACCTAGACGGAACAAGGGTATATCTCCGAATTAATCCACCCATTTCGCGACAGCAGTACTACAATACATCCATGTAGGGACCAGACACCAAGAGCGTCGCTGTCACTCGTCCGTGCTGGCGTGGTGCATCCATCTGTGGCTAACCTCAAGACCAGCCTTGGCGCAAAGATGGTGTCAAGAATCTCCAGGGTGAAGGCCTCCAGCCCCGGCATCCGATCGCTCACATGCTTGAGCACCGCGTCCGCCACCTCGCCGATCATCCTGCCCACCTTCTCCATCTTCGCGGCTACGGCCTCCTCAGACGCAACGACGGCAGCAGCAGCGGCAGCAGCCTCCCCTCGTCGGCTGCCACCGCTGCCGCCGCCCTCGGACCTTGATGATGCAGCAGCAGCAGCGGATACACCCGAAACTGCCACCCCCGCTAGCACGGCCACGCCGCCGGAGAGAAGCGAGGAAGAACCTCCATCTCCCGACCTATGCCCACCATCTCCCCCTCTACTGGACGGGCAACTAGATGGCGGTTCGCCTTTCATCGTTTGAGAGCTCACCACCTGATGAAAGCGGAGCTACAACGCTACAACAGCTATTTAGGTCCGTGTTGTTGATGATGCGGGATGACTCTTGGACCAATCAGCCGAAAGAGGCAGCACTGAGCCCATGCCGCCCCGCGCATAAAAGTGTGCATCCATCGAGCCCCCAACGTGGTACAAGTTCCCACTTCCCCCACCACCTGCCACATCTTCCATCACACAACGCACGTTGTACATTGCACACTTGCATGGAAGATGCCGCATAACATAGAGTGGCTAGATTGCACATTGCACCGTACACCTCCTCACGCTAGGACGTGGGTGTAAGACGGCCCGTAGCCGGTTTCAAATTGGTCACACGGCCTGGATACTCCGAAGGAATCATGATCACATCCAAGATTAACACAACACCCGAACAGCTGGGAAGACTACTGCTGTGACGATCATGGTGTAAATTCATATCGTTTGGAACAGGCGCGTGGGGTTTCGTGAGAGTACCTTAGTATTGCCGAAGAGTCAAATGAGCTCCCGAATTGGTCACACAAACTAGCTGAATGATTCAGCTGGTAACCTCGCAACCGTCCGACGTTTGAGACGTGAGCCTGTTGTGTGATCGTGGCGATGCATTCTATATGAAGTATACGTACAAGCACTTCGAAGTATGCATACATTCTTGTACGTACACTGCTGACGTCAAGAGCGCATATTAGTTGCTTCCTCGCTGCCAGCATTACGCGTGTGTCACCTCACTCCTCCAGGTCAAGAGTTTCGGGTTGGGAATGGTCGATGGCCAAAGGTGAGAACGACGACAAACAAAGCGTTTCTGTACCTCTATCGGACGACAAACATGGCCTTTTCGTAGGCGTCGGCCCAGGAATCAATCCGCGATGATGACCCTTGTGCCAAAGGGACCCAGACACCACAGCAGTGCACCCGCATCGTGTGCCGTAGAATAGGGCGAGACGCGTTATGCATGGGAGTTTGCCAGAATCCCCGTCACCGAAAGAACCAGTCAGTTGGTTCAGCTTTTTCGCATTGCATGTAGACTACATGTGTTGTAGAGCCAACTTCCAGTGCTCTGATCGATGCCCATGTTGAGCGAGAATAAACACGTTCACTGGAAGACAAAGTCAGCGCACAGCACAAGCGTTCATACGGCATGTGACACGTATCAAGACACCCCCCTTTCCCCCCCTTCCACTCCTTGTTGTAATAGTGTGCTGCCCACTTGATTTACTCGGAATTAACGGTTTCCACCCGCCCATCTTTTTCTCGCTGTTCAAATTAGTGTTTTCCTTCTCTCTCTACTGCCTGCCCCCGCCCCCCCCGTTGTCCCTCTCCTTGTTCCGCTCCGCATGCTCCTGCTCCGCCAACCTGGCCCCGTTTCGCCAGTAGTAGTAGTAGCAGCAGCAGCAGCAGCAAAACTACCCGCAAAAGTCCAGCCCTCTCTGCGCCTGCTCCCTAAGTGAGACTGCTACGTCCCTCTCGGTCGGCGACGCGTTCTCGCATTGGTCGTCCGACACAGCCCTCCGAAACATCTCCGCCGCGCCCCTTTTATCCCCGCACGCCAGTCTCCCGAGTCCGGCATAGTAAACGTTTCGTCGGCTACGCCCGTTGACCTTCGGGCAAGGGGGGGGGGGGGGGGTAGGAATCATGATCAGGGG